TACAGTTTTCCTGCATCAGCGACTTAAAATTTTGAGGTTACGGGTTGCCAGCCGAGGCAGTTGAGGGAAAGGCAGGGCTTCCTCTAAGGGCTGTAGGTTGTGTAGCAGCACTAGTCCTTTGGAACTGGAAGATTCCTCTTCTCTCCACTGGTGAGGTCAAGGTGTCTCCTCAGAACCCCCAGGCTGCCCGTGAACCTGGAATTATCTTGTCCAGGTCTGTGACGTCTCCTTCCTGGTGCATCTTCTCCTCCCACCCTAACCCTGTCTTTGCTGTCCTTGCTCCCAGTGTAGGAGGGAGGAAGGAACGTTGCCTGGCTGGCCTGGATTTGACTGACTCAGTTCTTGCCATTGGGACCTAAAGAAGACCCCGTTGTTCCACCAGACGTTTAGATATTTTGCACATCACATAGGAAAAGAGTTGGGTCAGGTGAAGGTGGTTTTGTTCCTCTTCCCCCTTCCCTGAGTTGAAAGGGACAACTGTGTCCACCTTCTCTTTAGGCCAGTTGTGAAGGTCTTCTCTTGTATGCCAGGGTGTCAGATGGATAGAACTGAAACAATGGTTATACATTAATTTATAGCTTTCTGAGAATAGTGTTCTCCCTCACCCGCAACTAAATTTATTGTTCACATTTTAATAAAGCTTTAGTGTGAAAATGTAGGGGGTTGAATGTACTCCACCCATTTTCCTAATTTGTTTTTTCCATTTTTGTATATTCAGACTGAATTCTGATTTGTGTATTATGAGTAAAATGTTTGGGAAAAAACTAATTTAAATTATTTTGAATACAATTTTTAAAAACAATTGAAACATTGGTATATTAAGGGTTACAGTCAGACCAAGTGCTGATATTTTATTTTAAAGAACTGAGGAAAATAAAGCCCCATTAAGGAACTTTACTGCAGGTTTTGATTTTAAATATAGAACCCCAGTCTTATTATAATCACCATTTAGATATGATCTGCTATTTATAAACTCATGGTTGTATTAATAGGAAGGAATCAGTTGAGTAACAGGGAAAGGAATTTATTGAGTTAGGAGGAGGCGCTTTACAGTGCTTTCATTTGATTCTCCCAAGAACCCTATGAGTTAGATCTTATTAGCCCATTTTAGAAATGAGGAAACTGAGTCTCAGGGAGTTTAAATAACTTTGGAAAATCACACAGCTACTGAGTGGCAGAGTGAAGATTTTTAGCAAAACCCATACTTTAATTGCTACCCTATGTTTACTTCCTAAAGCTATTTTATTGCTTAAAATTATATCATAAAATATTTTTCTTGTTTTAGAATAGCTTTAATATTAATAATTTTTAATGAGAGGATAATATTGTCAGTGATCTATGATTTATCATTTCCTAGATACTGAATATGTTTTCAGTTATTCTACTATGATAGATAACTCTCAGTGAGTGAATATTCATGTCTTTTTGCCTTTATTGTATTATTTGCTTAAGAAATATTTATTGGAGAGAAATTAATGAATCAAAGGATACACTTCTTTTACATTTCATTTCTTGCTAGCCATTGCCATGTTGATTTTCAATAGGGTTTCTTGAATTTGCTTTTTGTAGAGATTACCATACCCCATTTAACCAACTGTAAATACCCGTTGTACAGCGTATATTGGGAACAACTTAAAGTGTACATAAATCAGTGAAATAAGATTACATGGTAACTATTTACCCTATGGAGAGTAAAGGGGAAAAGCTGAGTGACTTTGATAAGAAAACAGTTGGCGAAGCCCCAAGAGTGGGACTGTTCCTAGAGAACAGTTGTTGGAAGAGAATGGAGGAGCTTGAACGCACTGGAATTTACCAGGGGATTGGTTTGTACCTGGTTTGCTTTTCTTGGCAGGGTTTTGTGGTTAATCTCTGAGTTAAATTTGATGTAAATTAAGACCAGACTATAATTTGAATTTGAATTTGAATCCTTCTTTGTTATAATCCGTTTTTGTTCTTTCTGTCAGCCTTTCTTTGCTAACATTGTAATTCGTGGATGAGAATTTTAAAGTTTGCTTCGTTTGACTTGAGAGGCATTAGGAGACTGGCATATTTTACTTGCAAATAGAAGATTTAGACTGAGTATTTATATAGAAGGATTATGTTATAAGCATCACTATGTTTTTTCACTAAATGACTTGTTAGGTAATATTTTATTAGGAAATAAATGAAGGAAACAAAGTTAATGTTATTTCAGATGGTATACTTAACCCTGGTGTCTGTGAAAATATATGTACATATTTATATATTGTATTTTCCTATCATTTTTGATAACTGTCCCATACCAGCTAAGGCAGAGTGGTAGCTAATCTTTACTGGACTGATGATGATATCCCTTGACAGTGGTGGAAGGAACTGTTCTGCCCAGCATTTTCCTGTCATCTCCTTTCTTTCCCTTTACATGACATGAAGAATTACAAGTACTATTACCAGAAGCTTTATTTATTGAGGATTAATATGTTATAGGCAGCATCTGAAAGCTTTATTATTACATCTGTTACCTCATTTAATTTTTCACAAGGTTTACTTGAAGTATGCACTACTATTCCCATTTTACATACTAGAGAAACAATTAGAGAGGTTAAATAACTCAGGTTAGTAAATGGCAGAACTGGAAGTTGAATTTGGGCTCTTTGATCTAAAGCCCTTCCTTTTAACCATTATCTCATGTGTTGTGTACATTTTTAGTTAAATTGACTATAAATGGTCCCATGTTTCAAGTCTTTAGTCTCCTTTGCCTTAGAACCTAGTTATTTCAAGGAAATCTTCACATTCTGTTTTTGAACAAAGTACTCATGGTAATTACTTTGAGGTTCACAAGCATTTCTTAGGGATAGAGTTCAGAGGGAAAGAGAGATCTCGTTTAGTCAGAGAAGTTGTGATTTTGCTTGGTTCGTAAAGATAGATGTTTTGTGTGGGTTTCTTTGAAGGTGATTTATGTATGGTAAGGGAAATACGGTTGGAAAGTGCATGCTTACTGTTTATTAGCATCAATGTATCAGTATTTTATCTGGACTTTAAAAAATGTATTTAAAGGTTACAGGATCTTATTTTTACTAAATAAGAATTCCATTGAAACACTTTTCTGACTTGAGCTTTTTCCCCCCTCTTGGGCATTTGGGTGGAATACAAAAAAATGGGATATATTGGCATTTTCCTAGGATAAAGTTGGCACAATAGTGAGATGGTTCATTGGCATCCTCTAAAGGCGATTGGTGATACTTTTTGGATCTCTTTTGATACCACACTAGTAGTCTTTGATAGTTTTATGCTATCTGGTATGATATGAAGGATGTTCCTGGCTTATCTCTTCTATTTCCTGCCCCAGGTCTGGAAACAGCACAGTGTCCAAAGAATGCTGGTTCCTTTTTCTAACTGCTGTAGTCTTTCTCACTCAGCTATCTCTCTTTATATCCCCTAGAGAAATTCATTTTTTTAAAAAAGAATGCAATTTTTCCAGTCACTTGTCTCCATGTGGAAAGGTGGAAAATTGTCTTTAAAAGAGTGGGGATTAATAACCTCTAAAGCAGCAGTTCTCAAACTTTTTGGTCTGAAGACTCTTTTATATTCTTAAAATTATTAAATATACCGAAAACTTGTGTTTATGTAGGTTAAGATCAATCAATATTTACCATATTAGAAATTTAAACTAAGACTAAAAAATTTCTTCTTAATGCATTTTAAAATAACAGTGATAAACCCATTATATGTTAACATATTTTTGAAAAATAATTATATTTTCTAAAACAAAATATTTAATAAGAGTGGGATTATTTTATATTTTGCAAATCTCTTTAATATCTGGCATAATAGGGGATAGCTGGATTATATTTGCTTGTACACTTAATTTTTTGCAATATGTTGATTTGGGTGAGATGAAGAAAATCTGGCCTTATACAGATATGTGGTTTGAAAAAGGAAGAGTACTTTAATAACCATTTCAGATAATTGTGAATATTATTCTTTGATACTACATCAAAGCTTGACAAATAGAAATTTCTTAAAAGTTAATTGAAATGTAGAATCTTCAACTATAGCAATGGACTCTTTTTCTCTCACATTAAAGTCCATTGGTCTATTTTGTACTTTGAATGACTCTCCTACCCATGCATGCCTTGAGTCATTTGGAGAATACCAGTTCTCAGTGAGTGATGCAGATCTTTTAAATTATGACACATTTTATTATACAACAGCACAAAATCACGTATGTTAATATCACCACAGATCTCATAAGAAAAGTCTTTAAATATTGGGAAGCTGTCCGGTGCTTTGTGACCTCCTGGAGGGGTGGGATAGGGAGGGTGGGAGGGAGGGAGACGCAAGAGGGAAGAGATATGGGAACATATGTATATATATATAACTGATTCATTTTGTTGTAAAGCAGAAACTAACACACCATTGTAAAGCAATTATACTCCAATAAAGATGTTAAAAAAAAATATTGGGAAGCTGTCAAGGTCATGGTGGCAGTTACAAGTTTTCCAAAATTTTAATTTTAATTTGAAAGCCTAAATTTTATCGTTTATAATAAAATGGCTGCCATATACTAAAGATTAAATAACCATGGTTTGAATGTCAGTTGTTCTTTCGAGTAGAAATGGTGCTCCATGGAAAAAGTGGCTAGTTCAGCTGGCAATTCAAATACTTTTCCGTGACAACTATTGTACTTTGGTATGTAGCAGAAGTGTTTTATGTGTACTTCTGTGTCCTTACCCAGCATATTAAAAAGATGTGTACCCAAAGCTGAGATTTAATAAAATTAATAATTTTTACTCTCATTAAGGACATTGTTAAGTGAAACTTGATTACTGTTTTTGTATGTGTGTGTGAAGTAAACAATGATTATTAGTACAGTTTGGCATCACTACCTTGATTCATGCTAACATCCTGGTAGTTCTTAGCATTGATTTTGTACCATGACTACAAATGTCAACACAGTGAGAAAAACCAATAGCATCTTATTATTATTATGACATAATGCTTTAAACTTGCACACCCCTCAGGGGTCCATGGACCACACTTTGAGAACCACTGTTCTAAATTCTTTGAAAATGCCCAGAAGTCTTCGTTAGTCTTTATGAATCTACCTACATCTTTTGTTCATACAACCTGGATTTCTTCAAGTTCCACTGTTCCAGGTACATGTAAGTAATTTATCACTCAACTTTATCATTTTCGTTTTGCGAGCATCACATACAAAAGTTTACTGCAGATGTGCAGATGTTCAGCTACTTGGTCATTTGAAAGGGCTTTGAATAATAGACATTGTGTATATCAGCCTACAAATGAATATTTGTATGTAAATATTTGTGTGTAAATAAATTGGATGTTATATATATATCCTAGAATTAAACAGTTGTAATGTGAATTTTAGAGATAATTCAGTATTCCTTGGTTGTATTGATATTAATGTGACTCTAAGGGATGTCGTAGATCACACTTGCCTGTTTATTTTTTCCTCATTTTTTAGTGACTTAAGTCTACCCTCTCCATCCCCAGTTGTTGCTCTTTAAACTAGAACAGTTAAAATCATTTAAGACGAATAAGGATCCTTTGTGTACAGGAATATTTGGGAGTAGGAGAAATCTTTTAATCATAATCCATTCCTAATCAAATCTTTTTCTGTGATTAGTTCATTGCAGTGGCAGAATTGGGGTAGTGAGTATGTCTTAAACTTGAAGTTTTATTTCATTCTACTTTGCCTTATTCTCTTTTAAGAAACAACATCAAAAACAACATAGCTTCTAGTGCTCCAGTAAAAGTTTAGATTTTTAGGTTGGGTGGTGGTGGTAGTGAGGAGTGCTAGTCATTTTGGACACCGCCATCTGTTTCACTTTTCTCCATCAATGAGAAAACACCTCTAACACTGATAGCTAATTAGGCCTAAAGAGCTTGGGTGTTTGTTTCTTGCTTTTATGGGGAGGTTTTGGTCCAGCACTGAATAATAGTACTCCGATATCAACTAATAAGAATAGATTTTTTAAAAATTTTGAAAATATTTTAACCTGTTACTAAACTATGAAATACACTGGTAATATATTAACACATTGGCAATATATTAATATACTGTCTCATATAAATAGTTTTAGCCCAGTATTAATCCTAGTTTGTCTGGTTCAGCGTCTTTTTTATGTTGGGAATACTGTATTTCCCTGTAGAAGAAACCTTTTGGCTATTCAAAGATTAAAACAGATATTCTGGCAAAGCATTATAAAAATGTTGATTATGAACAATTTAAGAGCGTCACTTCAGTATTTTCTTTTTATAAGCCACCTGTTGTCTTATGTGCCTAGTGTATACATTTGAACAAAGTGCTCATCACTTGTCAGCCATCAGTGGCAGCATAGAAATTACTTGTGGTACTTGCTTTGCAAGAAGTTCTTTTGTATTTGTGACATCAGCTTTGTTTTATACAATTAAAGTATTACACGCTAGAATAATCTAAATTGCAACCACTAAACGGTGATTTAATTCTTCTTGCCTTGAACTGAATTTGTTTACTGATTATATGTAGCTATTGACTACTGTTTAACATGACAGATTCATAAAAATTTCCCCCCATTTTGATAGCAAATAAGGTGGTTATATTATTAAAGGTTTTTCTCAATTTAAAAATTTGCCTTCAATAAATATTACATAAAGGGATAACATGTTGAAAACCCTGCGTGTGTGGATAATCCTTCTCATATGATTTGATTTTCAAATGAAGTTTAATACTTCTGATATGATATATTCATGATCACTTTAATAGTATTGTTCTAATTTTTAAATTCCCAGTTAAAAGTGTTTGCAGTCATTTTTATTCATTTTCTTCTGTTAAAAAAGAACAAAGTATAACTGTTTGATTAAGACTTAAGATTGATACTAGAATAAATATTTAGACTGTTAGATAACTTCTCTTATACTTACAGTAACATTAACTCTACACAGCAATCTGGATGCTTAGATAACTTTACCAGTGGATTTTAAGTAATCTGAATATTTCCTTTTTGTTGTCTTGTTAATAGTCCTGGTTATAATTTTTTAAAATAAGTTAACAGCACTAATACATTGACATTATTTAAAATGACAAATATTTTATCCAGATCATTTTTTTAGTGAACAGATTTCAGAACTAATGGAATAAAATTACTCACTTAAAGCAAATTTATCTTGTATTTTGTATAAAGCTTAGGTAGGAATGCCACTATTCAGTTATATTATAAAGGTAAAGTATAGTATAAATATATTTTCCAAGGTAGCCAGTGGTATATTTCTGCAATATAATTGGCTTCCTACACCTTGACAATAGTTTGTATACAGAAACTCTACATGAACTACTACAGAAAACTACTCACAAATAAGACTTTTTTGTTCTTTTCAGAAACAGTCTGAAACTAAATGGGAACTTTGTGTTTGCAGGAACAAAATTTGGAATTTCTTTTTTACTGCATGGTTGCTCTGATGTAAATGATGTAATATAGTGGACATTAGTATATAAGTAAATGATCAAATGAGTCATAAGATGGAACATCTGCCTCAGAAGCCCTTTCAGACAGCATAAGCTATGCCGTTGAAGTCTCTAATCAGTGCATCTGTCCCTGAGACTTCAGTGGTGCAAGGATAGTTTTCTATTTTGGATTAGTTACTATATGAAGACAGTATATTAACAATTTTTTTTTTGATGCATGCAACTGGAAAATTTGTGCCTGTGATATCTGAATAAAAAATTAACAGTGATTTTTTTAAAGCATAGTAATAATTAAGGGATGGCAATGAACATATAAACTTTTACTTTTACCTGCCTTAAAGTGGTTATTTATGATGGGATTTTACATTGCAGACCCGTAGATGCTTACTGGAGGAAATTTTCTTGCAAATACTGATGTTACAACAGGAGAGAAATCCAGATGGAACCTGAAGCACAGCAGGATTCAGAAAAGATATTTAACTAAAACAGAAGCCTGTATTTTGGGTCCATTCTGAGCTGGAGAATTCCTATAGTTTTAAAATTGCCACCAGAGAGAGTTGGGATGGCGGGGGGAGGAAGGGTGGGCAAAGGAGGGAGGGTATGTGCATGTTCATGTGTTTCATACAAAGTAAAAACTTCTAACCAAATGCACTGTAGAATACCAGATGATGATAATGACATACAGAGAATTGTGGTATATGTATGTGTATTTTATTCTTATAATCAACAAGCCACAGAAGATGAATTCTTATGATCATATTTAATTTTACTAAAGGATATGATCTAAAGTAGAAGTCTGCCCTCTTCCCTTAGAAAATTTATACTTAGCCATTCAATTAATCCTTTTTAACAATAGAGAAACAAGTGTAATTAGAGTAGGGTTTTTTGTTTGTTTGTTTTTTGTTTTTTTGCGGTACGCGGGCCTCTCACTGTTGTGGCCTCTCCCGTTGCGGAGCACAGGCTCCAGACATGCAGGCTCAGCAGCCATGGCTCACGGCCCCAGCCGCTCCGCGGCATGTGGGATCTTCCCGGCATGTGGGATCTTCCCGGACCGGGACACGAACCCGTGTCCCCTGCATTGGCAGGCGGACTCTCAGCCACTGTGCCACCAGGGAAGCCCCAATGAAAATTTTTTTTAAAATGAAGGAGAAATAGTTTTTCTTAGTCAAACAAAAACTAGGCATTCATTGACAGCAGATTTACTGTATAAGAAATGTTAAAGCAAGTTCTTTAAGCAGGAGGAATATGATCTACACAAACTTAGATCTACATAAAGACCACTGGACATGGAAAAAAAAGTTATTACTTATTTTTAATTTATTTGAGATAAAGGTCAGCAAACTTTTTATATAAAGGGCTAGACAATATTTTAGGTTTTAAGAGCCATACACTCTCGTGTCTACTCAGCTCTGCCATTGTAGTGTGAAATATATACGTGAATGAATGTGGCTGTGTTCTAGTAAAACAATTTCTAAAAACAGGCAGAGGGTTAGAGTTGGCCCATGGGCTATCGTTGGCTCATCCCTGCTCTAACAGTTAACTGACTATCTAAGACAAAAGTAGTATTATATGTTTATAGCATTTATAAAAGATATGACAATAGCATAAAAGATGGAAGAAAGGAATTGGAAATATAATATTTCTGTAAGTCCTTGTACTACACATGAAATGGTATAATATTTGAAGGTGCCCTCAGATTAATTAAAAATGTGTATTGGACAACCACTAAAAATTTTGAAATAAGGGCATAAATAATAAATCTATGGAAGCAATGCAATGGACTTGTAAACAATCCTCAGCATAAGAGAAGTTAGAGAAAGAGGAATGAAGAAAGAATAGATGGAACAAATAGAAAATAGTAAGATGGTAAATTTTAATCTAGTCATATCAGTAATCACGTTAAACATGGATAGTCTAAACCAGGGAATGGCAAAGTACTTCCAACCACAGTTTCATTTCTTTGTACATGTGTGCCATGATAAAGGAAGTTCCTGGACCTATTGGGCATCTAGAATTTAGATACTCATTTACTTGCATAAGGAAGAATTCAGATACTGTCCTGTGATACCCGCCTGTTTAATGGTAATTTACTTCAAGGAGTAATTTTCATTTTAGGGAATAAAAATTGACTTGGGTATGACTAGAGATAAAAGGGTACATTGTATTCCAGACTTTAGAAACACCAATCTGAAATAAAGGAAAAAAAGTATTACAGTAAATACACATTAAAGCTGTTCTGTCTTATCAGTTACCTAAATGACATTGGATTAGGAGTTAGTTTTTAATGTAGGAAGTTTTCAAAATTCATTTGTGAACTATAATCTGTTATTAGGTACACATCCATTTCTAGGGCTAGCTATACTTTTCCCTTTGGAATATCGCTGACTATATATACTACAGTAAGAATGCTTACACATTACTTGTTGATAAATACTAATGTGTTGTAGGTTAAAATCTGTGCTTAAGGGCTTCCCTGGTGGCGCAGTGGTTGAGAGTCTGCCTGCCAATGCAGGGCACACGGGTTCGTGCCCCGGTCCGGGAAGATCCCACATGCCGTGGAGCGGCTGGGCCTGTGAGCCATGACCGCTGAGCCTGCACGTCCAGAGCCTGTGCTCCACAACGGGAGAGGCCACAACAGTGAGAGGCCCGCATACCGCAAAAAAAAAAAAAAAAAATCTGTGCTTAATATTTTGT